TCAAAATAAATTTTAAAAAAAACAAATTTTTTTTTTTCTTTACTTCGTAAAATACTACGTCGATCCACCAAATTTAATTTAAGTTTAAATGTTCAACCCTCAATTCCTTGATTATTTCAAAAATAATTTCGATGGTTTTTATTGTAAATAGAAAAATGGTACCTTAATTGTAGCGATTTGGTTATGAAAAACTTAATCAACATGGAACTTAAATTGATAAATTGTCGTATTCGACGTTTGGTCCTCAGCCACTTGCGTAATAATGTTGAACATATTTGTGAATGACCTTTTTGTATATTCCGAGAAAATTTGGTAACTTGATCTATTTGTTTTTTTAAAGTTTTATGATATAAGTATTATGTCTTTCTCTTGCGAAATTCATAAATTCCATACTGCTCTGGATATTTTAAGATCCTCTAAGTGTCTACCTGACTACCTGTTTAGGGAAATTTATAATTTAAATAAGTTATAATACAAATACAAATACTTATTAGGTAGGTAGCTAATTAGTTATATATTGTGCCAACTCTAACTAACTATACACTGACTGCAGCATACACGATACGTCGATATCAACACAACGGTAATCAATGTAAATTATTCACTATTTTATTATTTTTCAACACAGATACTATAGTTTAATTTTGGGATTAAAGAGTTGCGATTTGCGAATTTAATAACAATATAAATATAATACAACAAATGCATAGAATTTAATTTAGTTTCATTTGGGCAAAAAAAAAAAAAAAATAATGCCGTTATATTATAATAGTAATTACTTTTAATCATAAATATTTAATTTTTTTTGGCTATTACATATAGGTACCACAAAATACAAATACTTTATTATTATAATATGACGACGTTGGGAGTTGTTTTTATTAAAATCGATATTTCGATGAATTCTGGCATGTAATTCTATCATTATTAATATAATAATAAGTGCTTACAAGTAACAAACTTCACCGTGAGCGTAATCGGGAGAGCAGTTTTTATCCCATCTATTTGTATTTGTGTTTATATTGTTATTATTATTATTCTTTAGATTTGGCCCAAACTTAAATATATATTTTTTCGGTTATTTTTGTTCTTTTTCTTTGCTAATATTTGTATTTGTTATCGTATCATTATATACACAAAATTTCATAAATAACGCGTGTAATAATATTTGCTCACCATCTCATTTTAAAAACTTATAATAGCTGGATTTATTAACTCTGACGTAAATGCGTCATATTATGTTTGTTCTACAGGAATATACAAGATAGGTGTAGGGGTATCATGATAAATTATTTAATTTAAAATGAAACCAAGGAAGTCGAACTGCTGCAGTATAGTACGTGTCGAGTGTAACTCACAATTGAGTAGGTTACTGTAATGGATGTATTAAATTTGAATTCAATGATAAATCATTGTATGCGAAAAACGATTCTGTGCAGAGACGGTCTGTCGACTGTCGGCCTAATGTCTGTATGCCTATTACCTATGTCTAAGGGCATTTTAATATTTTATCGTACACCTAAATTGATATTGTAGTAATATACAGTAGGTTATCGAACTAATGATCATAGAAAACAATTCAAATTGTATTGTGACAATTACTATAATATTATTTCATATAATATAGGTACTACCTAGATGTTATATGTACAATGTACATATTATATATTATATAAATAAATTAAGTATAAACTTTTAAGTCAATACTGGCATACCTATAGTAGTATAGTAGAACGGTGTGAATATGTTTATAGGATAGTTAACTTAAATAACTTAAGTTAATAAGTATTTGGTAAATAAGAATAAAAGTAGTGAGCAAAAGTTTTAAATCCTTGCGAATAATATTTTTTTAATTGCGATAAAAAACTAACATATTTATTTATCCAATTCCGTCAAAACTGAACTTTTTTTTAAAAAATATGCGAATTAATTTTTAGGTTTTTAGATTTTTTATAAAAATAAACTATTAACGATGAAAATTGTATTCAATTTTCAATCCACAGCTATTAAAATATAAAATGTTATAAATTATTAACTACTAAATAATTCGCAAATTTTTGTGAATATGACGATTATTGACGAATGTCGTTAAAATTTGAACTTAAACATTTATAAATTAAAATACTGTGCTACTCGTATAATGTATAATCAAAATTTTTTAAAATGCAATAAGTTCAACTTAAGAAGGAGCTTTTTTTAAATTTCTAACCTTTTTTACTAAGCATAAAAAGAATTATCAACACCAAACATTTATAGAAAAAAAAACGAAGTCATTTGAAATGCTTTTATAAATATAATGCGAAGCAAGTCGAAGCATATTTTCGTTTTTCTTTTTGTCCGAGCTCAGCGCAGCGAGCGAGTGGCCAAACGGGCATCACTGTCTAGATTTATAAAGTCCAGATATATACCTACATTCCATAATGTACATTCCAGATATGTAGAATCCGGGTTTATACTGTACAGAATTATAAATTCTAGGTTTATAAGTGGACCCCATATAGCAGACACAAAATAACACACATTATAATTGTGAAATAAATTCGTTCATCGTATCACTCAGAGTTTTAATAAGTACATCTAATAAACCTCGAACTCATTTATAGATTGAATAACATTATAGTCTTGATTCAATCATAAAATAACTAAAACACCGAAACTTGCATACGCCTACTACATTTTGAGTTCAGACTTTGTTCAATGTTTGAAATATAATATTCAATATATTCCCGAAGACTATATTATTATACCAATATTACCGTGTGACTTCCAATTAAAATTATATGTCACCGGCGTGTTGATGATCGTATAATTGCACTCGGTAAATTAATATTCAATGAACATCTGTTGTTTTACCGTTTTGCGGTCATTTTCAAATGTTTTTGCAATACAAGCTCTTTAAGTAGTAAAAGTAATTCTGTTGGTTGATTAATGCGTGTAAAACGACAAAAAAGTTTATTCTGTTGCTGACCCACTTGGTTCTTTACAGAGAGTTTTCATTACATCTCTAAAAAAAAACACGTCGTCGTATGTCCGTGTCTTTACGCTCTGCCTTTTTAATTTACATTAGAAATTAAATTTGTTTTGAACAAAACTTTTTTTTCTCCAAAGAATGAGTTGACTGGAATGCACACTCATTATTTTCATGATAAAAGTGAAAGGGTGAACAATGAATTCATCTAGTGTCCCCACCTACATTCGCCACTAATTATACCATTATACTTCTAGGAGTGTTTAAGGCAGTCGACCTTTCCAAAAGATATTAGTAAAGTTTTGTCGTGTTTTAACGAAAGAGTTGCTAGTTCAATATTGTTAATTTTAAAACGAAGCAAACTCATATAAGAACATTAATGTATATATGTGTGTCATCAAGAGTAATGTCTTGATGGCTCATTTTTTGTTTGGAATTTAGATGAAACAAATTATTATTAGGTATTTTTAAATCAGTAATAAATTAGGCAAATTATTAGTTCTCAATTAGTAATATATATTATAATATTAATATATATAATATATATATAAATGAATACATTTTTTTGGTTGTTCTAAAATAAAAACATCTTTCAGCCTTCCATTTTTTTTATAGTGATAATTATAATATAGTCGACTAAGTGATGCATAAATTATTTCGAAGGAATTAACACTTAAACGTAATAATTATATTTATAATGCTGCAATAAGTTATTAAATGAAAATTCTCTTTTTTAATTTAATTTTTTTGCTCAAAGTTATTATGGCACTTTCATTATTATAATAAACAAATAAATAAATAAATAACTATAACATTGAATCATAATATTTTTTATTTGATTTTCAGACTATATTTTAAAAATAAAATGAAAATATTAGAATACTTATACATTGGTTGATTTCATCTGGTTATTTCGATAACTTTTTACTCATAATAACTTATAATAAGTAGGTACCTATTGTAATACAATGTTATTTGTCGTTGTCGATTGAGCATATAAATATATTATAATTAATTTTATTGAATCTACCCAAATATAAGCTATAGTTACAATATTTTTATTGTAAATTATATTATGTAAAAGTTATTAAATATTGGTGTAATATTATTTGAGTGAGTTAAAATTACCAACAGTCGAGATTTAAATTTTAATCAAATAAATTACAATTATTACTTTTTAAATTTTTTTAAATAATAATTAATAGACATCTGTTATCAAAAGCTTATGGTGCAAATTAAATTTGCATTTAAACATAAAACATTAAAACAAATGATATAAAAAATAGGTACAAGGTACATATTATTTATAATTGAATTCATAGCCTGGCAATACAGCTGATATACCTATAAAAAAGAAAATACTATAAAAATAGTTAAACGTTTGCCAATTCTTACGATATAAAAATACTAATACGAACTCGAAAATATTATTATTTTGCGGTTATTAGTTCAAACATTTTTTCTGAAAAATGATTTCGGTGTCTACTCAGGGAGTACTGTGAATGTTTAGTGACATGTTATTTACGTAATAAAATATCGTGTATACTAAGATAGTTCCACCGCAACAGAAAATAATTTATTTGAATATCATAACTTATATGAAGTTCTTGAAAAGTCCCTACAATTTGAATCATGTTTATTTATTACTGTTGAGAGATTTATAAATTGTTATGTTATTATTTGTTTTAATACAACTAGTTACTAAAATATACATTTTTAAAGAGTAAAAACTATTGCTCTAACTAATTTTCAACTTCCAACAGATGTCCTTATCGATTAAGCGTCATGATAATCATACTATATAATACTACTATACGATTTATATGTCAATTTAAAACGTAATTTCGAGTTTATTCGGTACAAATATAGTTATAAAAAAATTGCCTAAGTGTAATACACATTTATATAACGGTAAACATTTTTATACCATAGCGGCTATACTTACTTACTACATCAAAATATAAATTCATAATTGTACACAGTTTTATTGTTTATAATATATTTGAAATAATTTATTTTTATTTGTTTTCAGAAAATGCTGCATGGTCAAGAAAATGGTCACAGACGCTAAAATTTACAACTATCGTATGGTTATTTATTGTCATTTCACACTGAAGAAATTCATAATCATATCATTATTGTTTAGTATTCATTGATTCTCATGAGAGTTGCAACGATTTATTACAGTCTCATCTAAATAATTATTACCCGGAAATATACATTACTTATAAATATATAAGACAAATGTAACGACGATGTCGTTAAATTATGTATGCGTAATATGACAAACTTCTTTAATTATTTACAGGTTATACGTACAAAAAATTCAAGTTTGTATATTTAGATAATAAACTCTTTTTTTTCTCTAAGAATTTTAAGTTATCAAAATAAATTCAATGAAACCAATACATTTTAAGTTAACGCAGGATCACTACAGTGCAAATGAAACTTGATTGATATTTTTTTTATGTTCATATACAACAAGACGATAAAAAAATTATAAATTTATAACAATACAATGAAATTTTACTTTTAAACGCACATTTTACATTTGATTTCACGAACATTTTGAATTAATTTAATTTTAAAATTACATTTAATGATATCTTTATCAATTTTTTTGTAGTGATCTTTTTGTCAATATGTTGTTTGTGTTTAAAGGATTCATTATTATTCTCTGAATTGTATTTTTAAATTTTTTTTTGTAATTCACTAAAAGAAAATCGTTTTAAGTTAAATTAAAATATATTTAATTTAAGTTAGTCATAAAATATTTGAAAAAAAACATTCAAAATGAAGATAATAATGCTATGCCTTTAATGTTAAAAAATAAAAACAAAATTAAATACAATTAATCTATACTCGATGTGAACTACCTATAATACCACTTATGTAGATAAAATATAGTAAAAAAATACATTTAATTATAAACACCTTATATTTTATTTATATTATAAAGGTGTATATTAAGAATCACGACTGTTTTAGTTATTTATTTACATTTGCATTAATAATGCGATAATTTATGGCTTCGCTTTTTCCTCAGGTATGGTATGTGAATTTGGTTTTGGTATACTCACCTGAAGAGCACGAGTGCACATGCATATTTTATATGCACGATATCACCAGGTTTTAATGATCAAGATTTATGAACTGAAAGGTGTTAAAAATGTGTGAACTACTAAATCAAAACTTAATGAAACAGTGGACGAGTTCAACAACGCGAACTACATATTTTATGCTATTATATAATATATTTTTGAATAGGTGTATACCTACACGTGTATAAAATACATTTAAGGTATCGACCGGGTTTTTATAATCTATTATGTAGGCAGTGCAAAATAATATAACTTCAGAATAATAGCGATAAATGATAATAATAATTGGCTTTACAGTGAAGTGTGATTTTTTTTCTGTGTGTGAATGCCTGTTGTCCTTACGTACAGAAAACTTTTTTCAATCTTCCACAACTTCGATAGTGTTTCTTATAGCAAATTTTGCAATTTTAAATACTAATCATAACATGAATCACCATTAAAACTAATTTCTTATCCACCTATATTTTTACTAAAAATCGTTTTTCGTGTACAACGACATTACAGTGACCTCCTACTCTGAAATGACGAAGTATTTTCGAAATCTATACTATACTGCAGATACGAGATCTCAGGTTTTTATTTTAAATTTTCAGTAAGATAATATTTTTAAGTTGTAACATCATTTATCTAGAGTAATGATTAATTTATTATAATTGGTATTTAAAGTTCTGTTTGGATGAATGTATAGGACAGAATAAAAATATTAAATCCCTGGTTCCCCTTAAGCTATTATACATTGTTCCAAACTTAAAAGATTAAAATTAATAAACCATCGTCAGATGTAGATTTATACGTATAGTTATTACATTGACATTTTCAGAAAAACAGTCTCTCTGAAGACTCTCTGAGCTATCTCTCACTCTGAGAGTTAAAACGTAGATGTATTGTCAATGAATAATCAAAAAACCTATCGATTTTGCGTAAAAGTGGAAGGTTTGACATTTAAAAAAATATTAAAACGGAATTTTTATAGTTTTCGAAATACTATCATAAAAAAAAATCAGCTACATGAAATTGTAAATTATAATTATTTCTGAAATAAGAGCACAGGCTACATGCCTATACTGTATATTATACACAAATGTCGTAGGTATAAAAAGGATGCGAATCGCCCTAAAATATAGGCAGTATAGGTACATACTTATACAGTTAACCATTTGCGTGTACGCATGTGCATGTGATAGTGATTAAATTTAGTCAGTCCGACAACTCGTTCGATAGACTCCAAATCGATGGTAGTGTTTTGCAAATTAGGTTTCGCATTAATTTGTAAGGTATTTACACCAGAGTGGAGTCGATCGGACGACGAGTTGGTGATGCTCACTTCACTCTACATCTCGAGCAGTACCCATATTACAATTTAGGCGTTTCAATAGCTCGACAAATATATATAGGTAAATCGTAAGTATAGGTACCTATATTATGTACCAAATATGAATGTATATATATATATAGAGCAAAAAAATGTCTTTTCGATATCATTACTACTAGGTATGTACAATGTAATAATAAATAACTATATACTATATAGGTACATGCATCACACATGAACATATTATATACCACACTCAACATGTATACAGTGTGCGCTTGTTATTTCAATGACTGTGCAAATATAATGTAAATATAAAATATATGCCATATATAAATATATAAATATATTATAGTGCACGGTGTTATATTATTACTGCCGGTGGAGTATAATAATATCACATATTGCTTTACCGATTTTTGAATATACCTATTATAATATGAAGCTGCATATTATTACATCATAGTATATCAAAGTATGAACTTGCACTTTGTGGCAAGAATGACATTTAACCACACGGTTTAAGACATATTATTCCTATAAAAATATACATTTAAAGTCATGCACTCGTGCGTTCAACAACATACCTAAACCATATATAAATAAATATTAAAATACAGCATGTATTAAAATATTATAAATTTATACACAACACGCCGCGCCTATATTCGCTGACTTTATATTATGTTTTTGTTTTTATTTTTTCCTATAAACACAATTGCGAATTCATTTATTAAAGTTTTCTAATATAATATTTACTTCATTTCGTACCTGTCTTCTTCCCGTTGTGTCAACATGTCTCATTAAAGACAAATATATAGATACCTAAAAAAAATAAAAAAACTCTTAGGTAAGGTTAGGATAAAATGTAGTGTACAGTAAATTATTAATTAATTAAATTAAGCAAATAATAAATAGTAATATATTTGTGTATGTATACCTAACCTATCACACTAACACTATTAAGTATATCTAAGCTACTTACTCTTATATTATAAATGATAGGTAAAGATCTAATTATTGCAATAAATCAATAATTTGATGTTCAATCTGTTTGAGTGAAAATCGACTTTTCATGAACATAGTGTCATTATATAATTAGTAGATACTATAAGAAAATCATAAACAAGCGAAATAGATATGGGTATAATGTTTATGTTATTTAGATTGGTAGATTACTTATTAATGTTTGAAATTTAAACGTAGCAGATGATATCGATTTAAAATACTACTTTTTTGTTGGTACCTATTTCAAGGTGAAAATTATTGACTTATCAAAAATATATTAAACTGTGATTTTTTTAACACACTACCGTCATTATTTATACACAAATAGAAAATAATTAATTAATTAGAAAAATATTTTGTTTGTACATCTTTGAACACAAATATATAAAATTTTACGATTTTAAAATAGTCTCATAAGTCATATACTTATTTCTGATTACTGAGTTCGTATTAAACGTTTGTTTTCGTTGTCAAATTATGTTGTGATAGGTTTTATAAATAAAATGATATTATTTGATTAAGCATTTATAATTGTTAAAACTGTTCTACAATATGCAGATTAGGTATATGAAATGTTTTTGGTTAGTCATTTAAATTAACCCACAACATTAATAGCAGATAACGATTTGATGAAAACATTTGAAAAAAGAAACCATTTAATTTATTTGTGTAGGTGTGAACCGAACGGCGGGAGTTATTTCCCAGTGACTGATTTCATAATTCAGAAGCCTTAAAAATATTACATAAGGTTCATAGTGTTTAATGTTCATACAGGCATACAGCTATACGCGATATCAAAAACACATAGAAACAAATAACAATACAAATTTCAAAGTGTTGGGACTAATTTAAAGCTATATATTTTATAAGAATTTTACATTTTCAAATTGTATTGCTTTTTATAATCATAACATTTTGATCGAAAAGTTATATAAAAAAAAGATCGAACTTGTAGTGTAAGGTTCTTCATGAGTTTTCCTTCCATCAACTTAAATATATCAAAAAAATACATACAAGACATATTTTTTTTACAAGCTTTTGAAGTTCAATTTTTGGCTAAATTATTACAACTAGAAAATTAATTAACTGTTAAATTTTACTAAAGGTTCTTTATTATTTGTTTTTATATAACAGTTTAGTTATATCGATACCAACAAATGTTGACAAAGATATTATATATAACGAATAATTGTAAATTTTTAGTTATTTTGTTTCAATTCAGAAAATATTAATCGTAGTAGGAACGTGAAATACTTTTTATAAAATGTTATATATTATTCACGATGAAATTTTCAAAATATTTAGACTAATCTTAAGTTATTTATTATATTAAACGTGAGTTTTTTTAAAATTTAATTAAACTAATTATTATATGAAATTATATTATGCTAATTAAAAATTATTAATAATTACCCATTATTGGCTAAGTATATAATATTATATGCGATGTTTGAGGCAAAAATTATTTATCCTATTGTATGACTAATAGAAAAGTGTATAACTAATAATAATATGAATAAATTGTAAAGCATCTTAAGAAACAAAGGCTTACACACCGTCTCTACAGAGAATCATTTTTCCAGTGTAATGATTCATCAACGTATTCAAAATTTACACATCCATTACAGCGACCAACTCAATGATGAGGTATATAATATGAGTATACACTCATAATAGTCATAACAATCTGGCATTTATACAGAATAGTAACTTCCTCGGTCTTTTTTTAGTTCAACCTCCTTGCATGTCTACCTAAAAAAATTACACATATTATAATTATGACAGTTTATAGGATAATCGGTAATAAAGTTATTGTTATTTCCGTTTGTTGGATGACTGGTTGAATGGTTTATATTTTATAACATGCCCCCAACATATTATTTAACTTAACTGTGGCCATTGCAGTAATGATCATCGTTAAGAAATCGAACATTTTATAGCGTTTCTTAAAAATACTCAACTTAAAGTGATTTTACCGCCCAAATGGCTTGAATTAAATTAATAATGATGTAAACGCATTAAAGAAAATCTTTTATCATTAATTCCTAGAATTAAAATTAAAAATAAAGGTTACCCGTTGGAAATTAAAAGTTGATTAGGGTACAATTAAAAGTGAAAATTATATAAGA